CTTTTAACAGGAAGAAACCTCCAGCAGAACCAGGCTCAGTGTGAGCGGCCATCTGCTGAGGATGACTGGGGTTCAAGGAGACAGAAGCAGATAAAGACATAAATTAAATTATTTATTTGGGGCTCGCGACCCGGCGGAAGACTTTGATCCTGTGAATCATGAAGGTTCACTTGCAAGTGGGCAAAAAAAGCTAGGCCAGGAGCTAAATGAAGTGGATCTTGAAAGATGATTGGCTTTGGAGAAGGTTCAACCCCCCCCCCGACTTGATTTGAGCTGAATGAGGGACATTGTAGGTGGTTCTTCCCGATTGAATTTACGCTCAAGCTTAATTTACTGAGTGTGACTTTGTCTAAACTACATTATTGTTTTTACCCCCTTGCTTAAAAATTGAGCTGATTTCCAGAATTACTGACTCCAACCCTGACCTGTCTATAGATGCTTGTTTTACCTGAAAACTGATATTTATTTACCAGGTATATAAAAGCGGCTGGCTAGCTCAAGTGGTAGGTCACCTGTCCTGCAATCAGGAAGCCTGGGTTTGTATCCCAGGTGGGGGAATGAGCTGCCATTGTGGGTCCTTAGAATTAGGTGTTTAGGGCATTGTGCATTTCGACCCCCAGTGCTCTGGGTCCCAGAGCAAGACCCTTAACCCCCACACTGCTCCCCTGCACAATGGCAGTCCACCCCATTCCCAGAGGGATGGGTTAGATGCAGATTGTTATTTTCACTGCTCTGTACTTGTGACAGTGTAATGATAATAAAACACTGGAAAAAAAAAAAAAAAAAAAAAACTTTTTTCATTTTGAGTGAATTAAATAAGCCAACCTTGTCCGCTTTGGTTAATTCAAGATTGACACATCAAACAAAACATTAACATAGGATAGTAAACATGAACCAGCTGATATGGAGACATGGCTGCAGAATGCACTGAGCAGCCAACAATGATGCAAAAAAAACAACAAAACTTTGATATCAACTGTCTGATGTATCAGACCTTAAATTTGTAATCTCAAATTATCCTCACCAGCAAAAGTCTAGAGAGATTAGTGTCTGATACTATGAAAAATATTGTCTTGTATGCTTCAAATCATGGCTACATTTTCTGAGCACCTAGGACACCAGGTTACGCTCTACTTTCAGGATCGCTAACATAATAATAGTTGACCTTCATTGTTAACTTTAAGCAAACTTACAGTCACAAGAACAAGAAGGGACTGTAGACAAAATATTAATTTCAGTCCAACCAAACCAAGAATTGAAACTCTTCCCCTTCCTGTGCTTTTAGTCTTTGCTCCTAAGTTAAAGAGACCGTACTTACAAATCTTTCATCTGTAATTTCATGCAGACAGATATTTCTGTTCTACTCCTTTGTTTTGGTTTAATGTCATCACTCCTTAAAAAACGTTTTTCATCTGACTCATCGGGCAGTGAGCAGATCAGAACTGCTTCAGAACCAACATAAGATGAGAGAAATGCTCAGCGTACAGACGATGGGGCGAGGATGTGAGCTAGAAATGGGGATCAGATTTTTCCTGTTCTGTCTCTACTCCTCATTGCTTTGGGCAATTTTAATTTACCAAGTCTTGTTATTTTCAGATGTTCTCTTTTGTTTGGCATCCAACCACGTTTTTGTACCATCATCAGTTCATGGCTCTCATGTAAAAATAACCCTCAGTGTCAGGATTTTAATGGAGGTTTTTCTATGGGTTTGGTGTTTGAAGTGTGTGATAGAAGGATCTACTATTTATAATTACAACGCTGTGATGCTGGAGAGACATTCGCACCTCAACGTCAGTTTAAAGTGCTGATGATCTGCAGCCGCCACGTGTCGTCTCGCTGATGTCATGGGTCTAAACCAGATGGCCGGTACTGAATAAACCATCAAGCCCCTGATTCCACTTCAGAAGTAAAAAGAAAATAAAAGGCTATAACTCCATTTTACTTTTAGATTAATTCTCACCTTCTAAAAAAAATTAAATAAACTAGTTAGTAGAATAGTTGGTAAAGCAGTTTTATTTTTATTTGAATGTGAAAAACATATTCAATAAAAAGTATTTTAAAGCCTCTGTAACGCTTTTATGAATGAACATTTTGCATAAACACAAATATTTGCATCCACATTAGGGAAAGCATGCGTCTGGGTCCTTCATCCCACACCTGCTGTTTAACAGATCGAGCAGCATGAATCAAAGCTGTTCTGGCTTCCTCTGCAAAGAGGCAGGAAATCACTTAGCCACATTTTATTGCATCCTTTGTTACCTTGGAAACTAGTTGGGGAGGGACTTTTTATTTCAGATCGGAAAAATAAAAAAGCCTGAAACTTTAGAATGTGTGAAAGGTTATCAGTTTGCCCTTCTTGATAAATGAAAAGGCAGCAAAACAGATAAACAGTTTGACAATGTCAACGATTTATCACCCCCCTTATCTAATTACTCCACCGTCTTTATGCTGTGGAGCTGCAGCAGGGATGCAGCCCGTAAGCGCCGGCCTTTGTGTGACCGCTGTTTGCCTTTCTCCACCCAACAGGTTTGGCAGAAAGCAGCAGGGTTGTTTGCTGCAGTTCATATGACAGCAGGATGGAGCAGCATCTCTGCTTAGATCAGGGTCTGCTCTATAAGGTGTTACCAGTGGGGAGCGTCTGTTCCTGCCAAGCCTAAAATAAACTATAGAGGAATACAAGAAAACAAAACAGAAATGTATTGTTGAAATGTAATTAGCAACTTAGCCCTAAATGGAATGGAGTGCAAATAACTACCTTCATCAGCAAATAGAGGCTGGAATTTAATTGTAGTATGAATCCATTTGTTTTATGAAAGCTGCTGAGATTTGTTAGAGGAAATTGGTGATAAAGTCGGGGATTAAGCTGTGGAGAAGTCTAAGGAAGGTTAGAGAACAATGTACAAAGGTTTTAGCTTCTTACCCACTTTAGGTCAAAGTAGATGAGATAAACTGTAGAAAGTAAATTACATTTAAGCCTTATACTCTTCAAAGCCTTTCAAAGTCAACTATAGGAATTGATTAGATGGAATAAGCAATTTATGATAAACAGCAACATTGCTAAGTTTAGCTTTTTGGTGGATAAACTTTTATTGATCAATTACTAGTTGGTTAGATTATTGAAAAATTGCTTCCATTTCTCATTTGGTTTCTAAAGCAGAGCTATTGTTGTTTCCTGACAACCAATGTTTTTTTTTCTGGTCAGCAAAATCCCAATTAATGGTGTGATGTATGTTAAAGGCAATATTCACTTCTCTTCTCTTTTATTGCAAAGTAAATAAAAAAAACAAAAAAACACTTGAGTTTATACACAGATTTCCACGTTGGTAAAGATTTTAATTTCAGCTTTTAAAGATGAATCCAAACTTGTTCTTGTCGGCCTCTTTGATTTAAATAGCTGCTGTTTGTCGATCTTTAAGGAGAAATTAATAGATACGTGTTTTGTTCCACAGCAAAAATCTGCTGGTGGCTATAGGAGGGAATTGTCTGTCGATCCTTTTCTAGTAGTTTGCAGTTTCTGTGTGTAAACCAATGCTCAATGCTCTGGTACAGAAAGCACATATTTAATCAGACGGTCACCAGGAGAATAGAAATCTGAATTATTTAGATTTCTAAACATTTGTTTCCATTATTGTTTACAAAGAAGAATGTGATGCATTAATTAGAAATTGTTTTTAGTTAGGATCAGAGGTGTCAAAAGTATTCATGTTTATTACTCAAGCAGAACTATAAATCCAACTGTTTAAAAACACTTTTGGAGAAGTGTTTTTATAGTTTTTTACAGAGTATCAACTTAAGCGTTTTACTCAAGTAAAAGTGTAAAAGTGATATTTTTAAAACCCAGGGCAGCTGTGGCTACAATGTAGCTTGCCACCATCAGGGTGTGAGGGTGTGCGTGAATGGGTGAAGGACTGAATATAGTGTAAAGCGCTTTGGTCAAGTCTCCTGACTTGGAAAAGCGCTAAATAAATACTGGCCATTTATAAGTACAGGCCATTTAAATCTACTTTAAGTATAAAAGTAAAAGTAATGAAGGAAAAATGTTGAGGACAGACGCTTTACTGCTCTACCCCATTAAAGGAACAGTTTCTACAATTCTGGATGATAAATTCCTTAGACTTCATTTTCTTAGTTTTATAACTAATGGTAACAGTGACTAATTTAACTTTGCATCATCTTTTAAAACGATTTTGGTATGTGTGAAAAACAAGTTTGTGCAACACAGAGTCCAACCACAAAGAAATTAATTGTTTGGACGAAATAAAATATTTTAAGGTTTTTTTTTTTTTTCTCCTTTAAATACCAACAGGCCATAATAAAATAACCTTAAATGAAACAAAACTAACAAGTCTATTTTTAAAATGTAAGAAGTAGGAAGTAGAGACAATTCCAGAGTAGAAGTAAAAAGTTGTCTAAAGCATAATTAGTCCAGTAGAGTATAGATAGCCAACCTTTCTACGAGATAATGATAATGAAGGAAGATAATGAAGTATTGGTACTTTGTTACTTAACACCTCTGGTGGGTGTTCTGAATAATGTAAACTCTGCCATAGAAGCTCATTAGATTATTTTTGTAATGATATATGTGTCTTTTTTTCCGTCCCTATTAAATAAAAATTGAGGAACAATGTGGAAAGTTTCTTTTCTTTTTTTTCCGATGCAAATAACCACTGATCATATGGAATATTTGTTCATCAGGAGCAATGCATCCTGTAGCTAAAAGAATGTCCTTCTAGCAAAGCATCAACCTTTTCTCAGGGATTATGCTGCTGCCTTTTTTATATGCTGCTGTAATACAGGCTTATATGCTTTGCAAACCTAATTTCCTATTTCAAAGGAAACTTTCTGGGTCACATTTGCACTCTGTGAAATATTCAGCTGCGAATCCAAAGTTGAAAAGCAGGCCTTCGTTTCCTGACACCTTTAGTGTGGTTCCGCTATTTCTCCGCCGCTCTGATATAAAACGGAACTGTGAGCTGATCCTGGATGTTTTCTCCCATCAGGCATGATGACTTGAAGGAGATGCTGGACAGCAACAAAGACTCCCTGAAGCTGGAGGCGATGAAGCGGATTGTGGCTGTGAGTGTGAATAAGGTTTACTTTGAGGTCACATGACACGCAGCACTTTAGATTTACTCTGTCTCACAATAATCTAAGTCGTCTGAATCCATCAAACACAGGAAGTCACACGAGGTAACCAGGATGTTAACATGACCAACCTGTCCATTCATGATCTGATTGTTTAATCCTAAACACAGCAGCCAACCTATAATTCACCACTGCAGGAAGATGAAAGTACACCAATACTATAATGAAATATATTTTCACAGAAACATAGAAACAGAGTCTAAAGAAATACTGATTCTTGTCTGTTTAAAATCAGTCATGCTGAATTTTTCATTTCTTCTTTTGTAAATTATTTCTGGCTTACCTTTGGGCACTTCTTCTCCAACCCCCACAAAGTGTGTCTTTTTTTTTAAATCCAGTTTTTGATTAAAACACTGTAAACTTAACCTTTGTATTTACAGAAATGACCAAACAGTTAATGGCTGCTGTACTTTGATCTGTCTCTTAGAAAATGTTTTAAAACTCAAACACTCCCATAAATTCCTCATTTAATCACATTTCATTTTTTTCTCCAGATGATTGCCCGGGGCAAAAACGCATCAGACCTTTTCCCCGCCGTGGTAAAAAACGTGGCGTGTAAAAACATTGAGGTTTGTTCCAGTTTAAGTTGGCCTCCATTTTGTTTGTTTTGTGTTTTCATCTTTAATTTTCCTGACTTGTAAGTTTTTTTCTGATCCAACAGCAGCTTTTCTTATCTAATTAATGAATGAATTACTTTTCAACTTTCCACTGTGACTTGAGCAGTTTGTTTCCCTCTTGCTTATTTCCAGGTGAAGAAGCTGGTCTATGTTTACTTGGTGCGTTATGCAGAAGAGCAGCAGGATCTTGCCCTTCTCTCAATTTCTACGTTCCAGCGTGGATTAAAGGTACGTTCAGCGTTTCTTTCCTGCTGTCAGGATGTTGCAGGTCTGTTGCATACATGCACAAATTGCAACACACTCACAGCTATTTCTTCATGGGTCCTAATGTGGAGCCTTGATGCATCCCATAAATAAGTGGGAAACAGCTTAGAAAAATCTGGAACTTTAGTCAGGTTAGATATTAACCCTGTAGAGTATTTACCAGCAGAATCTTCAATAAGTGAGTTCATGCATGTTTTTATTTTTTTGCAGGATCCCAATCAGCTGATCAGAGCCAGCGCCCTGCGTGTCCTGTCCAGCATACGAGTTACCATTATTGTCCCCATAATGATGCTGGCCATCAAAGAAGCTGCTTCAGATATGTCTCCCTATGTCAGGAAGACTGCTGCCCATGCTATCCCCAAACTCTACAGGTGCTGCTCCACCTCAACATCAGAAATTAAGCAGAAATCCAAACTCGGTGCAACACCACCTTAGTGTGAAAAAAGTCCCTCACAAACCTACAGCTGCTGTGCCAATGAAATCCATCTGTGCTTCTTATACTTCAGTGTGATTTTTATCAATGTGTGAAGTTTTATTTTTTTTCTTCTGATCTTAGTTTGGATCCTGAGCAAAAAGATCAGCTTATAGAAGTGATAGAGAAACTCCTGGCAGACAAAACTACTGTAAGTTTTTTGTTTACTTTACTTTTTTAGTTGTGCTGCCTTGATGTTTATGCTTAGTTTTTAAAAATAGAAAAAAGAAAAATAATAAAAATCACAGCCAGCAACAAAAACTCAACTGCTTTCCTGTTTGAATTTGCTTCAATGATTTGAACTTTGATTTGAACAAATTCTAAGGAAAATACTGGGTTGAAGGATTTCACCTCTTGCATGGCTTATATTTAGCCCTCATTATTACTAATATATGATTCTCTGCCGGTAAGAGTTTGGAAATATATTAAATATATATATACCACAGCTGGTGGCTGGAAGCGTGGTGATGGCCTTTGAGGAGGTTTGCCCGGAGCGCATCGATCTGATCCACAAAAACTACAGGAAGCTGTGCAACCTGCTGATCGACGTGGAGGAGTGGGGGCAGGTCGTCATCATCAATATGTTGACCCGCTACGCAAGGACCCAGTTTCTCAACCCAAACGTCAATGTGAGAAACTAAATAATAATTATTAATATGCCATCTGAAATATTATATTTGTGTAGTAATTGTACAAAAGAAGAAAACCTTTGCTAAATAAACATTTACTCAACAGTGTAAAGCTAACCTCCTTACATGTTAATACCAACTTTTCTTTGCACTAAAATGTTTCGGATCATAAAAAAAGTTTATTATGAGGCAAAAATTAAATGACTGGAGAGTTTCTAAAAGTTTATTTAAGCTAAAGAAGTTTACAAACCTATAAATTTAAATTTAATAATTGGGCAGATGGCCGCTCACACTGAGCCTGGTTCTGTTGGAGGTTTCTTCCACTTAAAAGGGAGATTTTCCTCTCCACTGTCGCTACAAGCATGCTTAGTGTGAGTCGATGAGTCGATGCAATCAGCTGGTTTTCTTAGATGGAAAACTTTGAATTAATTTGACTGGATGATCTGGTGAGCTATAAATGACCTTGGTTGACATGTGTTGTGAATTGGTACTTATTTAAATAAACCAAGAGAGTTTTCCCTCCCTAACATCACTGCATGCAAACTCTGTGTGAGGGATTGCTGCAGAGTCAACAACACAATTGTGGTGATATTTACTGTCACCACAGGCTCATTCAGGAGAAGCAACTTCTGCAAAGTCGAGGCAATCAAAACACTTCTAAGCTATCTAAATATATGATTTGTTGGAATTAGTTTCCTAAGAACTGCCTTGAGATAACATGTTTCATACAGCTCTGCATTTTTCGTTTTTCATTTTGTGCTTTTGTGTGACATAAAATGCTAAAATGGAAGAACTGTATCTGGAAATCAGTTGCTTTAAAATAGTAAAACAACACGTTTCTGGTACATCCTACTGACTGCAGGAGACTCTGCTAGAGGAGGGAGGCGGTGGGGAGAAGACCTTCTATGGTTCAGACGAAGACGAGGATGAGGAAGATGAGGAGAAGCAGCAGGAGGAATTAGGAGGTGTTTAGAGGGAGAGGAGAAGAAAGCAGAGGCCGCAGCAATGGCCAAGAGGAAGCCGTACGTCATGGACCCCGACCACCGGCTACTGCTGAGGAACACCAAGCCTCTACTGCAGAGCCGCAACGCCGCTGTGAGACCTGCATGCACTCTGAGTGCCTTAAGCTGTAGCCTTCATGTTTTAGTCGCCTCCTTACGTCCACACACCTGATTTATATAGGATCAACTAACTGGCTGCTGAAGAGTCATGTGATTATTTAGATCACAGATTTTGAAACAGAGAGGCATCCAAATCATGTATGTGCTGTGGTACTACAAATACTTTGTTACCTTGCTTTGGTAGAAATTTTGCCTATCTATACTTTACTGGAGTAATTATTTTTTACTCCTACGCAGGGGCGTGCACACATAGACACTAGGTGGTGCTAAAGCACTAGGAAGTTTGCCCTCTATCAATGAAAATGCCCTTTTGAAACTCGTTTTTTTTATTATTATTATTATTAATATAATTAAGATTTTACTGAGGTCGGTTTTGAAACCATCTTTTGAAAACCTGAGCCATTAAAAACGACTGAAACAATGCCCCGAAATGACCGACCTACTTGCGCACAAACGACCAGCCTCTCTCACTTCCTTTGTCACGTGAACTCGCTCGGTCGCCCGCAGGGCATGCCAGATGCGCAGCATCATAGCAGTTTTCAGATAGCAGGAACGGTCGCTGACAGGCTGCTTCTCCCGTGCCCCATTAGCCAGTTAATATACAGATCAAGCAGAATCATTTTGTTGTGCATTAAAATGTCTCATTCAGCAGCACCAAACACGCATTTTTTCCAACTGGTCACCTAATAAACTAGTCGTCTCCTTGTAAGATGCTATAAGGCTCGGGCACATGACGTC